TTTTAGAAGTGTATTCATTTGATTAAAAACAAAATAAACTATGCACAACAGAAGAAAAAAATATTTAAATAAAATGAAAGGCAGCAGAAAAAAGAAAAATATCTTCTAATATTTAAATGTCAATTTATTTATACAGCACATAAAAACAACTAAAGTTGACCAAAGTGCTTCACAGTTCAGCCAAATGAATAAAACAACAGAACAACACATAAATGTAAACAATAAGATCAATTTAAAATAGAGAAAAAAACATTAAAAACATTATCTTTAAAAGAATCTCAAACTCTACCAGAATGAAAGCCAGGGAGTAAAAATGAGTTTTAAGCAGAGATTTAAAAGTCTTAACAGTTTCTGCACACCGAATGCTAAGAGGTAAACCATTCCAAATTTTCAAACTTAATATAAAAACCCAAGAAAATATCAAGCTAAGTGGAGACAAATTTAAAGTTTTTTTTACATCTCCAATATCTTTCATCCTCTGCTGTCAGTTCAACCTGGTGTGCGACCGGAGCGGTTTAATAGAAGCGTCGCAGTCTGTCTACATGGCGGGTCTTCTGGTTGGAGCGTTTGTCCTGGGGCAGATGGCTGACAGGTACTCACCTCCAAGCTAACCCCTCAGGTTTTTCATGTCTTTATGGAGTTTATAGAGTTCATAGCTCGGCCGTTCTGTTTGTAGGTTTGGTCGCCGTTTTGTGATCCTGCTCTCGCTCCTCCTCCAGTTCTTGTTCGGCGTGGGCGCCAGCTTCTCACCCAACATCTACGTTTACATTGTGCTCAAGTTCGTTTGTGGCTTCTCAATCTCTGGAATCCTCGTCAACGTGTTTGTTATCGGTCGGTACGACGGTCACAGCTGAGTCATCGCTTAAACTCTACTGCAGCATCACTTGGAATATTAACAATGAAATATTATCTGCTCCGTTGCTTTAAAGGTGGAGAATGGAGCGACTCTTCTAAGTTTGCCCTCTGCACCATTGTCTCCCACTCTTTTTTTCCTCTGGGGTTGATGATGTTGTCTGGGATTGCATACTTGATTCGTAACTGGAGGGTCCTGCAGCTGGTGCTCTTCAGCCCTGTCATCATTGTCCTGGGAATCTTCTACTGGTCAGAACCCACTCTGACAAGCATTCAAATAAAAATAACACATTAGATTAAAAAACAAAGGACACCACATACAGCGGGTAAAATAAGTATTGAACACGTCACCATTTTTCTCAGTAAATATATTACTAGAGGTGCTAATGACATGAAATTTTCACCAGATGTCGGT